CCAAAGGCTCCCAGCTCCTGCAGTGCAACCCTCATGGGATGGAGCTGCATCGAGGGTGATGGTGGAAAAGAAGCATGGGTCAGGCAACAGGAGCCAGGTTTTGCTGCAGTGACAAGCAGCCTACACTTAGAGGTCACAGCACAGAAGTGCAGGTCCCATTCCTAGTCTGTGCTCACCAGGCTGGGTTCTGCTGAGTGTTTTTAGCCCAGGACTCAAGCTATGGGAGCAGCCTCTAGGGAACAGACAGACTAAAGTGGGTGGATCACTTGCGGCCAGGAGTTCAAGACCAGCCTGTCAACATGGTGAAATCCCATCTTTACTAAAACTTAGCCGGGAGTGGTGCTGCACGCTTACAGTCCCAGCTACTGGGGAGACTGAGACAGGAGAATTGCTTGAACCTGGGAGGTAGAGGTTGCAGTGAGCCAAGATCACACCTTTGCACTCCTGCCTGGGTGACAGAGCTCGCTCTCAAAAAAAAAGTAGAAATTAAAAGAGTATCTTCCGTTTTAAAGACCTTTGCAAATTCTGTTGCTTGCTAACTGCTGCAAGAGTTTGGAGCTATTGGCTAGCCCAAGGCCCCTTCTGAGCTCAGATGCCCATCAGGAGGTTTTTGGCATCAACAAGAGAGCTCTTTCCTTCTCTAGAGAAACCCCAGATGAAGGTGAGAACCCAGACCCTGCATTATGAAATGGGGGCTTGAATTTACCTTCTGAATTTTTATTTTGAAGATGAAGGAATAAAAAGCAAACAGGCTTGTCAAACATTCTGAAAGGTGTGGTAGAATTCTCAGTGAGCGCTAACACTTCTTAGTGCCTTTCCTTTATCAGACACTCTCGCATGCCTTATGGTGTTTGCTCTTCCGGGCAATGTTGTGAAGTAGAGGAACTGTGCTTTACCTTAGGGTTGGAACAGAAGAGATTCAACGATGTTAAGTGACGTGCCTGGGGATGGTGCTGGGACAAACAGGTCACATTTCCATGTTTAACAGCTGTGGGTCTCTCTCTGGTCACCTTCCCAGTTTGGCCATATGAATGGTCAGATCCCCAAAGGCGGATTTCTGGGACACTGGTTGTACAAGTAATTTTAACGGGAACCAAAAGTGGGTTAAGGTCCCGCTCAGGGTTTGCAGGATTAAATCCAAGTACAGCTGTGAGGGAAGAGTGTGTTAGACACACAGGGCCAGGAGAGTGCCGGTGGTGACTTCTGCCACTATGTTTCTTCCCTAAGATTTGTGCAGCTGAAACCTCCTTCTATCCCCAGGCGCTGCGGTTTCTCCGGAAGAATTCCTCTAAGTATCATTTCAGACGCACCAGGATGCTGCCAGTGAGCGGCGCCTTCCACACCCGCCTGATGGAGCCAGCCGTGGAGCCCCTGATGCAAGTTTTAAAGGCAATTGATGTTAAGAAGCCTCTGGTTTCCGTCTACTCCAATGTCCACGGGCACAGATACATGCATCCCACGCACATCCAGAAGCTGCTGGCCCAGCAGGTGGTCTCCCCAGTCAAGTGGGAGCAGACGATGCACGCCATATACAAAAGGAAAAAGGGCAGTGAGTTCCCCAAAACTTTCGAAGTAGGCCCCGGGCAGCAGCTGGGAGCCATCCTGAAGAGCTGTAACTTGCAGGCCTGGAAGTCCTACAGCCCTGTGGACGTGCTGCAGACCCTCGAACACATTGACCCGGACCCCGAGGAGTCCCCAAGATGACCATGGGGGGCTCAAAGGGATGAACCCGTGCCCTCCTGAAAAGAGGCTCTGAGCTGCGCCCACCACACACTCCCTTCCTAACGGCTCCTCTTCCAAGGGAAAGTGATTGCAACGTGCTTTGAAGGCCACATAAAAAGCCCTGAGTATTTCTTTATATGACCCAATCCATTTCGCCCCCTTGGAAAAAATCTTTGGATGTTGGGAAGGATGCCACAGGGCTGCCAGCCCTGCACCATGGGTGGGTGTGCCAACTCAGTGGGACGGGACGGGTAGGGTGCTGCACCCTCATGCCAGCCCCTGCCCTGCCTTGCCCTGCCCTGCAGGTACTGGGAACATGCTGGTGGGGACTCATGTCCGGCCAGTGCCAGGGGAGCCCCTCCATCCCCACCCAGGGCTCCTTTGTCACAAATCTAAAAGGTTTTAGAACCCAATTGGCCTTGGCAGTTTTGTTCACCTCCCACCCCCTCACTTGACAGCTGGAAGACAGTCCCACATTTGTTGACTGGCACACAGCAGGCACTCAGTAGGTATGTCTTGAGTATGAGTGGGCTGTTCTGATAGAAGGGTCCTTGAGTGAGGTGCAGGGTGTGGGGGTGCCAGGAAGGGAGGGTGGCCGAGGCTCTGGTCCTAGGGCTGGGATCATAGGACTGTGGTTACTGCAGGTCTGCGGGGTGCTGGAGGGAACAGCACATACCTGCCTCGGACCTGACCCCCGGCTCCATGCCCCATCCTTGGACGGAGCAGCTCTTTCATGAATATCAAATATGAGACATTCCAAGCTGCTTGGGTGGTAGTTCATTATTCAGTGGGAAAACATCGCAAATCAACTCTTAAATGTTACCATTTGTGGCCGGGCGCGGTGGCTCACGCCTGTAATCCCAGCACTTTGGGAGGACAAGGCAGGTGGATCACAAGGTCAGGAGTTTGAGACCAGCCTGGCCAATATGATGAAACCCCGTCTCTTCTAAATACATAGAAATCAGTCAGGCACAGTGGCAGGCACCTGTAGTCCCAGCTCCTCGGGAGGCTGAGGTAGGGGGATTGCATGAACCCAGGAAGCAGAGGCTGCGGTGAGCTAAGTCACGCCACTGCACTCCAGCCTGGCCAACAGAGCAAGACTCTTGTCTCAAAGTTACAGGGTTTCTCACTGTTAGTTCTGTGGCGTTTCTCCGAAGTGCCCTGCTGGCCTTTGGGCAGAACCCTGTTTCGTTCTATGGCACTATCCATTGTTGGCCAGCTGTCCTGATGCTGGGCCATTACATGCCAGCAGCACTTCCAGGCATCGTGACCCTGTGACCCCCAAACACCCTTCATGTCTCCATGAAACCCTGGGTTAAAACACCAACAAAAGCAGACATTCTGATTCCCACTGCAGCCTGCATGCATGTCCCTTGACCTGTGATAGTTCTTTGGAAAGAACTATGTCTCAAATCTTTATTGTACAAAGAAATGCTTAAGTACTGAGCCTGTTTGAAGCCCTTTCCCTGAGAGCTTCAAGCAGTAGCAGCCTCAGGAGACCCAGACTCTCCACATCCAGGTTCTCTGGCAATGCTGCGGGCAGGATGGCGTCGTGGGGTCATGTTCAGCTCTAAGGAACAAAATCCCAAACAAGGGAGGGAGTCTGCTTTCCAAGGAGTTGGGAAGAGCTGTCCTCACCGCTTACTCTGGGCACTGCCCTTGTCCTTGTGTCCTGGGGTGGTACTAGCAGATCCAAGACCAGGAAGGGGGAAGAGACAGCAAAGAGCAGATGGTGCTGCCTTAACAAGACTCTGGAAAGTTGTATCATCTGTAGTGCCGGGGCTGCCCCATAGGTAACCCAAAGGTGAGGGCAGGCAGCAGTGCCCGCTACTCTACCCCTGCTCCTTTGGACAATCCCTACAGAGGGGCAGGCATGGGCAGACAAGGGGAGTCGGGGTCAGAGTCCTGGGGTGAGCCACGCCGAGTCCTACATCTTGTCCTTGGTGGAAACTTGGCAGGTTCCTGCCCCTTTAGGGAAGTGCCAATGGGTGGCTTTGGTGCCAGCACACTGGCCCAACCCTTGGTGAAAACTGACTCTGCCACCACATCTCTGGGCCTCATGTCCTAGGAGAACCTTGCCTGTTTCTCTAGGCCTGTGTGGCATCGGGGCCCTCCCTCCCCAGGATAGTGAGATCCCAGCTCTACAAAAATATAAAATGGGCCACTGATCAGCCTCTCCTCACTTTGTCAGGAGAACCCTAGATGCGAGGAAAGGGTGGTGTGGAGGTGAGCAGAGCCTCTCGCATCTCTGCTCACCCAGTAGGCACTGCCAGATGGTGGTGTGGGCTCCGGGGCAGGTGGGAGGTGGAAAGCCTGAGTGTGGGTCTTGGAGACCTGGGTGAAGCAGCAGATGTAGACGTGAGGAGAGAACACCCTGCACCCAGAGTGCAGGCAGCATATGACAAGGCCACGCTTAGGCCACACCTCGGCCCCATGGCTCATCTGCAGAAGCTCCTAAGCCCGCCGTTTTCACTGCGTGTGTTTCTGGTGGCCTTTGGTCAGTGGGCTGATCAGGGGTGGAAAAGGGTCCATGGCTGGGTCCAAGACCACCTTCAGTGTGGTCTTAAAAAAAGGCTGCCAAGGGCCAGAACTTGGGGAGAGAGAGAGAAAACTAAGGAGGTTTAGTGAGGCTGCCCTTTGGTCTGGAGGGCCAGAGGACACTGGAGCAGGATGCAGGGACTTCCCAGCCCGCCTGCATCTCCTGGACTAGCTCTGGGGATAGCAGGGAACAGAAAGGGCCTGGCTGGGAAGATGAGGCTGCAGAGGGTCCAGGAGGGTTGGAGGCTGCAGAATGGTAGCCAGCCTGGCCCAGCTTTGACATTTAGGGTGGAGGGCAGACAGAGCCCACGTCCCGGGAGGGAGGCCTGGTGGCGTCCAGAAATGGCAGAAGGCCAAGGCCCAGGGCAGATACCAAGCCCACGAAGTAGGGGGCTGCCCTCCTGCACCTGGTGCCCCTTGTCTTGCACCAGCCTTCCCACCATGCCCTCCATGTAACGGAGCCAGACCTGCATCCCTCTGGCAGGAAGTATGTGCAGGGAGAGACAGGCATCGCCTAACAAGGAACTAAAATCCCCAATAGTAGATTTCAGGCCACAGACCAGGACAAGAGAGAAGGCAAACCATCAGGCCAAACCAAGACAGCATTTGTGGTCCCCAGGTGCAGGGAAGAGCCTGATTAGAAGTACCGGGCCCCGCCCTCCCCACCAACACAGTGCACCCTCTCTGGGGGAAGAGGAAGCCTGCACCGGTGCTGCCAACCCCTAGAGAAGACCAGAGACTGCTGGAAACCAACATTTTATTGTGCACTCCTGCTCCTCAGAATCTATTCCAGTGGATTCTGGGCATTGCATCACACAGGGGTGTGACCAGCACTCCCCCTGCTGCCTGCCTGTGGGCAGGGGCAGGAGTGAATGGCTCTTCCTGGGCACAGGCCATAGTTAACCGGTAACAAACTAGGAGCCATAGGAATTCATCTCTTAAAAAACTGGAGGGAAAAAAAACCTGAGTATAAAACCTCAGCAGTGTTCCAGCACTATCTCAGAGTTTAAATATAAAAAGGGATCATAAGAAAACAGTTAAAAAGATAACACCAGTAGGCTGCCACCTCCAGGGCAGTGCCAGGGCAGTGGTCGCAGGGGTGGGGCCAGCCCCGCCCTGAGCCACAGGGGCCTCACTTGAGCAGCAGGTGCAGACCCCCACTGAACATCGCCAGCAGCAGCGCCAGGAGTGCCAGCAGCACTGCCTGTTTGCGGGACACCTGCGGGAGCAAAGCGGAAGAGTCAGGGCTCAGAGCAGGCCCCAGCAATGAGGCCCAACGGGCGACAGAGGAGTGCCAAGGGGAAGCCCAGGCAGGTGGGGACTGGGAAGGAGCTGGAGGGGTTCAGAGAAGGAGTTCAGGAGACGGGGAAAGTGGCTCTGAGGATATCGCCCTAAAGGCCAGTGTGGCCTGGGGCTGCCAGTCTACAGGACACAGGCAAAGACACCTGGTGGACGCAGGTGAGGGCAGTCAGCTGCCCTGGTGGTGGGCGGTGGGGAGTAGGCAGCATGGGACCAGGCTGCTCCGGGAGGCACCTGCTCAGGCCAGGAGATGAAAGTCCTCTCTGTCGGTGAGGGCTCTCAGGGCAGAGAAAGAAAGAGGACCCTGCACTGGTTTGTGCACTCGCAACCAGGAATCTCAAACCCAAAAGCCCGTGGGACCAGGCAGATGTGGAAATGGGACACAAGATGACAGGGAGCAGAAGGGACTGCGGCGCCCTAAGGAGCGGCTCTGACAGCCCTCTCTGACCACAGCGCAAGTCAGATACAGAAATCTCAAGGCTCTTACCCAGGACCCGGAGCTCAGGGATCTCCAGAGCCTCACTATGTCCTCCTGGAAGTTAGCGAAAACATCCACGACACCGCTAAGAACATCCCCGATGTCGGTCCGGTCGAGGACGAAAGCGAGACCCGGGCTACAGACAAAGGGGATGGGGGCAAAGGGGTTACCACAGGAACAGGTAACGACAGCCTGTACTTAGATGACATTATCACAGATGTAGGGAGCGGGGGACCTGCACCCTCCACCCCACAGCCACCTGGGCCCTTTCCCTGGGCACCTCCACCCACAGGGACCGCTCTGCATGGGCTGTTTGTGGTCAAATTCATACCGATTTCCTGCTTCCTCCCCCAGCTGCCCGCCAGCCCACTGGCCCTGTCTTCCGGAGCTGGCCACATGGAAAATAAACCCCCACTCTACAGGGCCCTGGCAAGTCACTACCCACCATTCTACCCCCGAGACCAGCTGAGAGCCCCGGCCCCCCAGGGTCTAGGATGCAAGCTCATGTAGCAGCTCCTTTTAAGACCATAGCGGAAATGGACCATCTGGGCTTCATAAGAAGGTGAGAGGGAAAAGAGCCCTGGGCTCTGCTTTATCTATTGCCCAGGAATACCCAGGACAGGTGGCAGGGGCCAGGGCCGGGAGCTGGGGGCTCCCAAGGGAGGTGCAGGCAGTAGCAAAGGATTTCAGTATAGCCCCAGAGTGTCAGGGGCATGTCCCCACCAGGACTTCCTCAGGGCCCTGTGCTGCATTTAGGGCATCCACCCCCCACCCAGAGTCTCTCCCCAGGTGTAGAGGCCCCAGCAGGGCACAGGCCGGTTACCTGTACATGGCCACCTCGTAGAGCTGGGCCAGCCTCCGGGCCCTGAGGCTCACATCCATCTGGTCCGCGATGCAGGCCAGCTGCAGGGCCAGTGCGTCACTGCGGGGAGCACACACAGGAATCAGGGGTGTGGCTGTGTCATGGAGGCCAAACGCACCTGGACCCACCCAGCCAATGGACTGTGTGCGGCTAAGAGTGGCCCAGAGAGAGATGGTGTCAGATTCGGGGCAGGTGGTGAGTGGGCCTCCCTGCATCCCTCCTCCAGCTCCCACTTGGCTTCAGAGACACCCTTGAAGTCCCATCCATGGGACCCAGATACCAGAGGTGCAAACCATTTCAAATGATCCCTGCTGGGCTGGCCACAGGGGTGCCAGAGACAGCAGGGAGCAGCCTGAGTGGGTGCCTGTCCCAGGCCCTCTTGTGCCCCATGTCTACCCATTAGCATAGTGGGCAGAGGGCTTGTGGTACAGGCTGAGCCCCACCTTGGGTGGGGAGGGGAGAGGGCACTGGTGTCTGGGGCAACTGAGTGAACAGGTGAGTCTCCCAAGGCAGCCTGCCCTGGCACCCAGGGATGACTGAACATGCAGAACTCAGGGGTTTCTGAGCTTCCCTGGAGAATCCTGGGGCAGGTCTGGGGAGCACTGTGCCCCCTACAGTGGCTGTGCTGGCTTCCCACGTGGGTTGCAACTTACCTTCCTTTGTGGGAGGTGAGGCTGTATAAGACCTGTGTCCCGGTTCCCAATCCTGAAACCGGCCCTGCTGGCACCACCCCTCTCAGAATGGGGCACACACACCTCTGCCTCACCACATCCGCTCCCACACAGACAAACACGGCCGGGTGCAGGGGCTACGCCTGTCATCCCACAGGAGGCTGAGGCAGGCGGATTGAGACCAGCCCGGCCAACATGGTAAAACCCCGTCTCTACTAAAAATACAAAATTAGCTGGGTGTGGTGTGTGCCTGTAGTCCCAGCTACTCAGGAGGCTGAGGCAGGAGAATTGCTTGAACCCAAACTCAGGGGATCTGTCCGCCTCGGCCTTCCAAAGTGCTGGGATTACAGGTGCGAGCCACTGAGCCTGGCTCAAATTCTTTCTTGCTTTATCTAAAAACCCTCTCGATCTGGATCTGGTCCCCCTTCTGCCAACAGAGCCACCTTCGAGAGGCCTTGATGTGCTCTGCAGGTTGCAAAGGGCCTGTCAAGCGAGGCCCCAGCACAGTGCCATTTGGACAGCCAGTGGCCCTAGGTCCGTCTTGGAACTGTCAACATGCTGGCTCTCCAGGGGTCTGTGAGCTGGTGGTGGGGCGGTGGAACATGGGGAAGTGACTGCAGGTCCGTCTTGGCACTGTGAACATGCTGGCTGTCCACGGATCTGTCCATCTATCAGGGGTGTGGGGTGGGGGTGGGGGCAGCAAAGTGAAGCTGCTCCCAGGGCAGAAGCCTCCATGCCCACATCTAGGGCATGTTCCTTGGGGGCCCTGCCTGGGAGGCATCTGCAGACACTCCCTCCCTCTTAGAAGGTCTGCTCATCCAGCCCACCCATGAAGTCAATACCAGGCCTGGGGCAGAGCTGGGGCCCAAGGCAGGCCACAGGGACCTACCTGTTCTCCATGCATTCCAAAGGGTCCTCCACAGGGTCCAGGTCCTCTTCAGGGTCACTCCCACCAACAACCTCCATGGTCAGGGGATCCACGAACTGCTCACACAGGAGGGTCTCCATGAAGATGTCACTGGAGAGGGGTCTTACTTCAGACATTTCTCCTCTGGGGCAAAAAGAGTACACTGGACCCCTCAGAACTGAGCAATCTGGGGCTCACTCAGAGGATGACCTCCAGGATTGCATAGCCCTACTCGCCCTCTCTCTTGATCGCTAACACCATCAACATCCCCCAACCCCAGCTCCCACAGGCATGAATCCTGCTACACGCTGGCTGTGTGCCTCCGGGCAAGTCACCCAGCATCTCAGGACTTGATTCATAAGGGCCCTTGCTTGCTTTCTTCCTTTTTTTTTTTTTTTTGAGATGGATTCTTGCTGTCACCAGGCTGGAGCACAGTGGCACCATCTCGGCTCACTGCAATCTCTGCCTCCTCGGTTCAAGCAATTTTCCTGCCTCAGCCTCCCAAGCAGCTTGGACTACAGACGTACGGAACCAGGCCCAGCTAATTTTTTGTATTTTTAGTAGATAGGGAGTTTCACCATGTTGGCCAGGCTAGTCTGCACCGCTTAGCAGAAGACCACACCTGTTCTTTGATGTCTGCTTTCTCTTAAGGCAGAGAGAAGCAAAATGAGAAAGATGTTATCACAACTCCTATTCCCAGAGAGACCATCGCGAATTCTTCTAGTGTTTTTCCGAAACTCGTGAGCTCCCAAATCCCCCTTTTCTTCAGGGTGGCCCTGCATCCTTATCCATCTAAGCCAGCCATGGCCCTCCTCTCCCCCAGGTTCCCAGCATCTCTTGCAGCTGGTGACAGCCATGTCACCCAGTTCTGGTCAATGAGGGCTCAGAGGCTGGAGGCAGGGGTTGGATGCCAGGGAGCAAACAGCCAGGGCAGCTCAACTCTCCTTCCTCCAAAGATGGAGCTGCAGCAGGTGGCCAAGAACAGCAGAGAAGGTAGGCAGAGAGCGCCCAGGCCTGAGGGTGTCCCTGAGCTGCCTCCTCCAACTGTGTTTAAGAAAAATGAACCCAAATCTGTCCTCATCACCATTCACTGAGTTTTCTGTTCTTTGACACCAAAGGCCTTTCTAACTATGATCACTGCAGATTCTCACATCAAGAAATGTTTCATGATGATGGCAGAAGGGACCCGATTCACCATAATGTACCCCACAGCATGAACAGCCTTAAATCTGGGAAATGATGATGCTGCTGACTGTGGGATGAGAATCTAATGGCCTAGTTGAAAGCCCAGCTCTGGCAGTTAGCAGCAGTGTGTCCGCTTCTTCATCTGTGAAATGGGTTAGATGGTCTGAGTACCCCTCCCTGGGCTATTGGAAAGATGAAACAAGGAACTCCTTAGTAGTCTGAACAGAGCCTGGCACACTGGGAGGAAACTGGCACTAGCCATTATCACTTTTGTGCTTCAACTCATTGTTTTCTTACTATAACGCCCTGGGTGTTATGAATTTTTAATCCCCCATGCCTACTGATAGAACGCTCTGACCTCCCACTGTCTCACTGAACTGTTTGTTCCAACAGGACACTGAGGCTTGGAGAAGTTCATGATTGAGCCAAGAAGAGACAGAGCTCCAAATCTCCCTATTCCCCAAGCCAGGGAGGACTGATGGCAGGCAGGACCCACAGGGCAGCCCTCTCACAGGCCTAGGCACAAGTGTGTTCTCATAACTTGCTCTCAGCATTAAAAGGAGAGGATGGGCTGGGCATGGTCGCACCTGTAATCCCAGCACTTTGGGAGGCCGAGACAGGTGGATCACCTGAGGTCGGGAGTTCAAGACCAGCCTGACTAACATGGAGAAACTCTGTCTCTACTAAAAATACAAAATTCAGATGGGCTCAGTAGCTCATGCCTGTAATCCCAGCACCCTGGGAGGCCAAGGTGGGCAGATCACAAGGTCAGGAGTTCGAGATTAGCCTGACCAACATGGTGAAACCCCATCTCTACTAAAAATACAAAAAATCAGCTGGGCATGGTGGCACATGCCTGTAACCCCAGCTGCTCTGGAGGCTGGGGCAGGAGAATCACTTGAACCCAGGAGGAGGAGGTTGCAGTGAGCAGAGATTGTGCCATTGCACTCCAGTCTCGGCGACACAGCAAGACTGTCGAGTAAAATAAAAATACAAAATTAGCCGGGTATGATGGTACTTGCCTCTAATCCCAGCTACTCAGAAGGCTGAGGCAAGAAAATCGCTTAAACCCAGGAGGCGGAGGTTGTGGTGAGCTCATGCCATTGCACTCCAGCCTGGGCACAAGAGCGAAACTTCGTCTCAAAATAAAATTAAAAGCCAGCTGTCGTGGTACACGCCCATAGTCTCAGCTACTTGGGAGGCTGAGGCAAGAGAATCACTTGAACCTGGGAGGCGGAGGCTACACAGTGAGCTCTGATCGTGTAATAGCATTCCAACCTGGGTGACACAGCTGGATCCTGACTCCACAGGTAAGATGTTTTAACATTGTGTAGATTGCCAGCAGCATGTGTGTCAAGGTGGCATTAAAAAGGACTTCGTCCAGAACTGCTGGCTGCCATGGGTGTCTATGCAAATAGCCATTTCCCTAAGAAAGCAGCTCCAGCCCTGGTTCGCTTTTCCCGCATTCCCTACCCCTGCAGAAAAGGCCTTCTCCTCTCCTGCTCTGTGCCCCTGTGGAAATCAGACTACCTCTACGCCCTGCAAAGAGAGAGCCGCAGTGGACTCAACTCACTGTGAGCTGCACTGAGCCTTGCCTCGATCCCCTGTCCCAACATCTCCCAAAGCACTTTGGGAGGTGGAGGCAGGTGGATCACCTGAGGTCAGGAGTTTGAGACCAGCCTGGCCAACACGGTGAAACCCCCGTCTCCACCAAAAATACAAAATCAGACAGGCATGGTGGCACTCGCCTGTAATCCCAGCTACTTGGGAGACTGAGTCCGGAGAATTGCTTGAACCTGGGAGGCGGAGGTTGCAGTCAGCCCAGATCGCACCCCTGCACTTCGGCCTGTGCTATAGGGCAAAACTCTGCCTCAGAGAAAAAAAATTAGAATGGCGGTACTAGTAACACCTATTGCACAAGACCGCTGTGAGGATGAAATGACCTGGCCCAAGAGTTAACCGCTGAGAGAGGAGCTGCTGCTCTGCCCAAGGCCTGGCAGAGCAGACATAACGTTTGCTGACTGAAGACATGAAGGCAATCTATTCCCAGAGGACCCACCATGAGGTCACTGCAGCTGCAGATCCAGGAAACTGGACTGGTTTTATTATCTTTCTTTTTCCAGCAAACTTGCAAATGAGTAGGTAAAACCCTTCTTTGGTGAAGGAAGACACACCTAGCCCTGTGTCCCCACCCAGGCTGCAGCCCACACTTGGCCTCCTACACGCTCACCAGTGGAAACACCAGTGGCCAGTCGGAAGCCCTGTTTTACCCTAAGAGGTTAGGATGCAAATCTAATGTGTGCAGAAGCAGCGCCACACCCACAGCCTTGAGGGCACCTGCAGGGCTCAGAGTGGGCAGGAGGGCAGGTTCTGAACAGAGCAGCCTGCATTTGGTGAACAGCTCTGTACTCAACAGCATGCCTAGGGCTCATCTCAGAGATGAGGAAATGCCAGCTACCTCCCAGGCCCCTCCCAGGTCCTTCAAAAGCCCAAGCAAGTAGAGATGCATCGTGCACAGCCCTCAGCAGGCGTTCAAGGGCTGAGGCTGCAGGATGGTGGGGGTGGGGTCCAGCTCCCGTAGGGACCCTCAGACTCTCAGGAACTCACTCAGTCCAGTCTAAGCGAGTGGGATCTGACACTTCTGTGTCACAGGCAGGCAAACCAAGAGGGCCAGGGGCCACCCTGGGTCCACAGGGACGGTCAGCTGAGTTGGCCCAGCTAGAAAGCCCTAGTCCAGGCTGGGCACGATGGCTCCCACCAGTAATCCCAGCACTTTGGGAGGTGGAGGCAGGTGGATCACCTTTGGTCTGGAGTTTGAGACCAGCCTGACCAACATGGAGAAACCCTGTCTCTACTAAAAATACAAAAGATTAGCTGGGCATGATAGTGCATGCCTGTAATCCCAGCTACATGATAGACTGAGGCAGGAGAATCGCTTGAACCAGGGAGGTGGAGGCCGGGCACAGTGAGCCAAGATGACACCACTGCACTCCAGCCTGGGCAACGAGAGCAAAACTCTGCCTCAAAAAAAAAACCCTGGTCCAGTCTTCTGTAATGGCACAGCCTGGTCCTGGACCATGAGGGTGGGGTGACACAAAGCCCTTGGAGCAGGCTCAACTCAGGTGCAATCCAGCAGGAAATGCCCTGACCTTGCAGCCAGGCAGGACCTCAGTTCCACTCCCTGCTTGGCCCCTGCTGTGTGAGGCAGAGCTACCTGCTAACCTCAGCCTTGCAGTGACAGCGAGGCCTCCAGGGCTGCTGAGAGGATGAGAAGATACACTACTGTCCATTTTCCGCCACCTCGCAGGGGCTCCATAAAAGCTGGTTAACTCAAACAACAGTCTCAGAAGAGATCAGAGGCCGCTCACAGCTCAGAATGCCACAGTGGATGCACAAGTGCTGCCTCTTTGGAGGAGATTCAGCATCCATAAGTCACATATGCACACGACCTTTGATTCTCGGGGTGCATCCCACACACCCCTGCAGGGACCTGCCCGCCCTCAAAACATGAAGCCACGGATGTGCAGGTGCTGCGCTGTCATCACAGCCCTTTAGGAGACAGGCAGGCAGACGGCACAAGCCCAGTTTAAGACCAGCCTGAGCAATATGGTGATACCCCCTACCTAAAAATAAACTGCAACCTCCACCTCTGAAAGTGGAGAGCAGAACGGACATGCAGGTAGTATTCAAAGCGTGGTTTCCACTGATCGTGTTGCATGTTCGCTCTACCGTACAATGAAACATCCTCAATCAAATCAAATCTAAGTTGGGGGACACCCGTACAGTAAAGCTGTAAGAACCCTGATGCGGTGACTCACACCTGTAATCCCAGCACTTTGGGAGACTGAGGCGGGCAGATCATGAGTTCAGGAGATCGAGACTATCCTGGCTAGCACAGTGAAACCCCGTCTCTACCAAAAATGCAAAAACTAGCTGGGCAAGGTGGTACATGCCTGTAA